ACAATAACATCGCATTTCAGCAGTGCCGTGCTAACTTTTATTGGCCCCCCATATATTAAACATTTATATTTGAACATTTTCTACCCTTTAAAATGTTACAATTTTTGTCACCCTTGCGCACAGCTCTGMAGCTCTGTTTGATATTTTACATTATTATAGCTAGAGATAAAAAAAATAAAACGATAACGTAAAAATCTCTAGGTCATGATACATYAACATATTAATTTATCATTAAATAAAATACCTATATGAACAAGTGTGTCGTAAAAAATATGTGTAATGTGTTTTCATATTTTCGACACATAAACTATGTGCAGTATTTAGCATTATCGGGCTGCTAGTTTATATTACTTCACTTGCGAATGCACTGTTAATGGAAAATACAAAATAAGAATTGAAAACAATTTCATCATCGCGAAACCTTTAATTATTAATTAAGTAGCTAGATGAGTAGTAGAACTACTACAYTTATTTACCTATCGATAGACAATGGTTTTAGTTTACTTATTTTATATTGTGCAGTATGCTTTTCCTTTTCGATAATTATTTTATTTAAATCGCCGACGAGGCCAGYAAAAGCTAATTGATTTTTTCAAGATAGCAATGCACTCTCCAATATTGCCATGTAACGTGCACTGTGCAGTGTGCACCACTCACCTGGTGAAYGCGTACACCCACTCGGACAGTTCTCTGCCGTCAAACGAACCGCGCTGAATCGTCCGGGTCTTCCGGAGTCTGGCCAACCGCTTGTACACGGTGTAATGGCTGCAGTGCTGCTTCCGCTGTGCGTCCAGGTTCAGCTTCCAGTAGTTGGGGTTCACCGGTAACCACGGTCTCGAGGACTCTGTGAACCCGGCGTTGGCACTGGCGTTCCACTGGTACGGTGACCTGGCAGGATCCCTGCTCAAGGACCGGAAATTGTCGAATCCCGCGTTCAGGCCCCTCGGGTCCACCGTCTGGTCCCAGCGGACGGCCGTGTCCGACATGCCGATCTCCTCGCCCATGTACGTGAACGCGGCGCCAGGCAACAGCATGTTCAGCATGTTCATGGTGTCCACCATTTCGCTGCCGAACCGAGTGGCCACGCGCGGCTGGTCATGATTCCCGA